GCGTTAGAGCGGATGCTTTTTCAAATTGAGCGTTATCTGGACAGCGTGATCGCGCGAGATCGCTCATAAACGGCCTCACCTGTCGGGGTTCGTTTTATTAATCCCTCCGAGGGATCGGTAACCCAGAAATCGCCGCTGCGAAAAACACGAGGGGACGGTGTCACGTGTCTTTGCGCGGGAATCGTACCGATTTCCGTGGCGCAAGGACGACGGGGACAGAAATCATGCTCGCGCTAACGAGGTATCTCGCTTCTTTTTACAAAGATAATTTGCATAGTGAATGACTTTAAATAATTTTTATATCATATGTATGTAGTACTTTGTGTAGATTTCATGGTGCTCGAAACCGCTTATGGTTGCAAGAACTTGAAATGTTAAAGATGAAGTGAGAAATAGGAAAAATATGTCCACTATTTGTAACGCACAATTTATTGTATTAGAATAAAGTTCAATAACGAGGTATTCGTAACATGGGGATCTTTCTTGGCGACACCTTTAAGAGTGTATCAAAGATAACAGATCGAAGATAACTATGGAGGTGAGAAACTTTTCTCCGAATCTAGTTAGCTTGGTCTTGTTAAACGCTAAATAATAGGCCATGGATGTCACATTTAACAAGTCCACGTATATATGTACATTATAACGACACGAATCATATGAAAAAAATTCTAAACAATGAAAGAAAACTCATATACAAATCTAGGCATTTAATTGTGCACCTCAACGATGAGCTATATTTAGTCAGAGTATTTTATCTTTCATTGTTATTGAAAATATTTTATTTGATATATTTGAATGGATAATTAACAAATCAACGTCTCTATATCATTTTTCAACAATGTTGCTCAGAGTCCAGTTCTTGTTTAATTGTGTACTTTAGAGGTGGACTATATTAAGTCAAATTATTTTTTGTTCCATTGCTGTTTGAAGGATTAAATTTGCTCTATATCGTGCCCTGTATAAAATCAACATCTCTATATTCTAATAACAGGAATCATACGAAAGAATTCCAAACAATGAAAAGTAGCTGACATAAAATTCGTTCAAAGCTAGTTCTTCTTTAATTCTATACCTCGACGATAAAACATCGTTGCAATTTGAAATATTAAATTTGCAATATTGGACTCAACGTATTTCTTCACCGAGCTACAGAATTATATACATTCAAAGTGTATTTATGTATATCTTCGTGTACTCAGAGCTATTAAGTGTTGCGATAAAATTCTCCAAAAAGTCGCCCGATAATATTAACGCAGAAACAGCGTACTTTATCATCGTGGATTAATGAACAAAATGTCCGAACCGTAGTTCGACTGTGTGCATTGAGCCAATGCTCGCGTAATTACCGGTAAGATTATCGCGATTGAACGTTCACCTATCGAGTGACAAATTTATTCGACAAGATTAATCTTGCCACGTTGAAATAGCCACTTAAGATATAGTTACTAGAAAGGCGGCGAATCAAAGACCGTAAGTTTCTTCTTCTACATAGAGGGAAGAAGTTGCAGTTTAATTTCGCAAACCTATTACACCGAACCAGGTTCCATTCCTCATAAATCAACCCATTATCTGAACGTTCTTACGTAAGGGAATTAAGAATAAAATTTATATTCTTAAAGAGAAAAAAAAATACAAATTTATCATCAAATGTATTGAATAATAATAAATTCCTGGATTACCTATGCGAGTTCGGCAATCTTTTTCGTATGATTCTCTCGCATTCCAATTCATTTTCTATCGATGTCTTTCATTTTGGATTAAGAAAGTGCAACACTGTAAAATCTTTTTACTAATCTTTTTTAAAACTTTTGACACTGAGGAACACATTTGTGCCAAAAATCAAAATTTGATACCATTCTATTCCATTCTAATGTGCGATAATATATGAAATCGTCACAGATGTGCGTTGAAAGTTTCTGTCACTTGAATTACAATCATAGGCTTCCTCGTTTATCTTCAAGAATTTCTCCATTTCATACGAAGCACGTTCATATATCTGACTTACTTATACAAACATTCTTTCCCACTTTTCTTAAATGTAAACAAAGTTTGCATGAATTAAGATGTCCCCTCAAAGCCAACATCTGAGTACAAAGGGTTAAATACTTATATCAAACTAACCAATGGTCCAGAATCTCAAACAACTCAACACCTAACCAATGATGGATAAAACCCTGGACTTCGAATAAATCTAAAGTTTGCCAATACATTCGTCTCGTTTCCTTCTTTGGGAAATTTCAAAAAGAGGAAACAAGACCAACATATCGGTAAACTCCAGATCTATTCGAAGTCTATGGTTATAGCTACCACTGCACCTAATACTCCCATTAAAAGTTTCGTCAATATTTCCCAGGGAATCCCCTTGAAATCACTTCCACGCCCCCTGTTCGAGACAGCATCCGGTGTCGTGTACTCATAGACCAGACAGCGACAAGTTCGACAACGATTCGTCTTGATCGACGCGGAAACGCGCTCGATCGACGAAGGAGATGACCTTCCTCGTCGCTTCCTCGATAGCGAGAAAACTCGACGTGTACGCGGCCGGTGATAAGCTGTCCGGGATGGAAAGAAGCGGTGGAAAAAAAAATGGCGAAACGAGCTTCGAGGAGAGATCGAACGAGGAAGATTCCGTAGTAAGCGCAATACCGTTCGAGAACGATCAAACTGGTCGGCGAGGCAGAGTCGTTGCTTCGAGGAAGCGCGTCGAATCTCTCACGGATCTCGGGTTTGCTCATCTCTCGGCGGGATCGAGGGCTGCGTCAAGGACTGCCAGACACAGGACTCGGATGATCCTCGACGCGGCCAGCCCGAGAGAGCCGTTCGTTCATTCGCGAATGAACGTCCGTGTGCCCGTTCGCTTGTATCGGCGCGTGACGCAACCAGATGCCAGATTCTGCCCCGGGAGGATCGAGTTCTGCGGACGCTACCGGCTAACGGTCGCCTGCTGCTGCTGCTGCGCGCGAGCGTTCATCGGGGACCTCGACGGGCCCCGGTGACGTCAGACCGTAGGTGAATGGGACCGCGGGCCCCTGGGCCCGTGCGGCGCTTCCGAGCGCTGCCGCTCGCGGCGCTACTTGACGGGGGGACTTCTGATTTCCCCCCACAGCCAAAAAGTGTAAGGCCCAACGCACACGGGCGCAACCGATTTGAAATTAGTGTTGCAAACCGTTTGCGCTCTTTGTTTTACCTACTTCGCTATCTTTGTTTTACTTACAATTAGATCCACGGTCGCATACAACTAGTCTCAGAATGGTTTGAAACTGATAAGTTGCACCCGTGTGCGATTTAAGAGATGGCGAAAACCCCAGGCTTCGAATAAATCTGAAGTTTGCGGATGTGTTTGTCTCGATTCTTTCTCTGGAAAACGTAAGGCTGGATGAAGACGATATGTAGCAAAAGGTGGACGGATACGGGAGGTCTAAACACCCACGAAACCCTCACGAAGGACTAACCAATGGCAATAATTGAGTGAGCGAATGACTTTTGTTTCATCAGTGCTCTTAGTAGCCGAAAATATATTAGAATCAATAGAATGAAGCATAAATGGAATCAACCATAGACAATAGCAAGGAAAAAACTAATTCATGAAGAATAAAAATATTCAAGAAATGCACAGAAATAAATAAAACGATAAGAATAGTACTATAGGATACCAGGGAACGAACTAGCAGACACGATAGCGATAGAATATACCGAAAAAGAAATCAACAGGGACATTAAGACTTCTAACGATATATGCACAGAATTAGATCTAAGGATTAGAAGAAAAAAACTGACTCGTGGAGAATAAAAATATTCAATAAATGCGCAGAAATAAATAAAATGAAAAGAATAGTACTATAGGATACCAGGGAACGAACTAGCAGACACGATAGCGATAGAATATACTGAAAAAGAAATCAGTAGGGACATAATGGCAGTTTCAACATCGAGGATTTTTAATTTATATAATAAAAAAGACTTTATTAATTGTCATCTGAATTCTTACCGATACTTCATCTCAATGATTCGTAATCACATTCACGGGCATCCAATTCCTTTAACAATTTTTGTACACATTTTACATATTTCTTTTTGTACATAATTTCCATATCACCGTATACCATGCATGCATAAACACAGTCTATTGATCATAAGCAGAAGGTCAAAAACATTCAACAACAGCAGGCATAAGTACAATTATTCGCGATTAAAAGATGTGCCAAGATCTTTTCTATGTTGTGCCATAGACCTGAAAGGAATAAAAATCTTTTTTTAATTGTGCAGTGATCCTAAAGTGATTAAGAACCACTGCTGCAACCAATCATCGCACGTTTGAACATGCACAAGCATCCAGGGCAAGTCACACTCAGCACCACAGGCCTCAGGTATACCTAAAAAAAAGTAGCTCAACAATTTTTGTGCCCTCATAATCAGTTTATGATGCGATACTACAAGTGGTTTCAGTACAAAGAGCAATATCTACCAGTCGAGCTCAGCTTTTCTTCTAAATCCTACATTAGACGGTTCAAACGTTCAATGATATACATGAAAAGTAAGATCGACTAATCGAGGCTTACCTATATAAGATAATATTGCTCCCTGTACCGCAAACGTTACTTATTACCGCGGATTTTATGCATCTATGACGTACAATAATATAGAAACATACAATATGGAAAATTTATGTTGAATATATTCCACCAATTAATATAATAACATCGTGATTGTAAAAGTCCTCTTGGAACAAACTCGGAAAGAACTTGGAGATATATCAGGTTTGTCACGTTACAAACTCAATACGTCGTTCAATAAAATTTGCATTTTTATAAACAAAGAATATATCTTCTAATATATCACATAAGAATAAATATTCCAACTCAATTACCCCTTTGGACTGGAACGACGAGTGAGACTCGTAAGAAATTCGGGCTATAAACAATAACCACGAGTCTGACTCGTGGACTTCCTGCCTTCCTGTTCGCTATGGCCCAGAGAAATCGTAAGATAACATACAGGCCAAGGGGTTAATATAGCTGTCTCATTTTCCATAAGTGCAGATCCCTTTTGGTCGTGTTTACCACAAATTTATTACATTAGTTTACATCCTAAATGCATAAGATCCGCGGTCTACTCGTTACACACCCAAAAACCGGAGTGTTCTTTAACAAACCGAGGGTCTCCAAAGTTTGGAGTCCAAACCTAGTTCTCTACAAGGCAAGCGAACCAACTTTCCTTCCACCTGCGAGAGGCCATCGATACGCAAACCTCTTAGATTCGCACAGTTTCAAGCACACCGAGGACAAGCGAGGAACAACGACGAAAGTCACGCAGCAGATCGTCTTAAGCCTGCGACTTTGGAGGAGGAGGCACGCGATAGATTCCGTTGAAGAGGAGTGTCTTCATCGATTTGTTGTAAATGAAGTACATGAACGGATGATTGGCGTTGAAAACGGCCAGCTGGAGCGGTCTTCCAGAACGGAACGTGAAGAGAGCTGTAGCAGCGGCCGCGGTTGTGCCCTCCTCGGTGACTTCGATGCGGGCACGGTGCACCGCGTCGCCCAAGTGGAGCGGGCTCTCTCCGTCCTGGAGGAATCCTCGCAGATCGGAGGCGCCGGGGATCATCAGCTCCCCTACGCCGAGGGCTCGAAGAAACGGTCCCATTGGAAGATCCATCTCGATCTCGAATCGCGGCAGGTAGATCTCGACCTCGCGCGGGTCCATACCGTTGCTCAGGATCTCGCGAAGCTCGGATGCGCCATCCGCTGTGGACATACGCTCGATCAGCTGACGCATGCCGTCGCCGTCGGCACCATTTACGGCCCTCGCGGTTGCGAACGGTGGAAGCATCACGACCATGGATATATCATCGCCCTTGTACGGAAGCTCCAATATGTGCGCGCCCAGCGTCTCGGAGATCACTGGTGAAAAAGGATAATTTGGTTGAATTAGATCGATAATCAACGTTTGAGTAAGGTACAACGAGTTCGGTCGTTATAGTGTACATTGTTGGACGTGTTAAATTTTGTCAAACATATTGATGTCTTTAAGGAACTAGTTAACTTTTTTGCTGCCTACTACTGACTTTAAGTTAGTTTAAAAATTGTCACTTAAGAGGAAATACGTTTAGGACTACGGTTTCTTTTTTGTTAATGATTTTCATGAATATTTTTACCAAGAAAGAAATGTATATAATTTAACGAAACTTTGAGAACATTTTATAGGTATATTCAAGTAAATATTGTAATTTTTTTGGAAGCACATTGTATTGTGCCGTATTATACTGTCCTACGCTATATTATGATGTATTATTTTTATATTATGCCATCATATTCTGCATTTTGCACTATTTTTTGTGTTATTCTATATCTTTAAACGATTTAACACGATTTGTATCAGCATCAACTTACTATAATTGAAGACTCCCTTCTGGTGCATGAACGTGACCATCGAATTTTGGGAAGCTGAACTATAGAAAAGGTCCTTCTTCGATTCGGCTGGGTCGAACTGGCTCTGCCAGAAGCCCTTGAAGTAGACAGCGTTCGCCAATACCAGATCGGTGTGTTCCTGTATACTGTTGGGAGGAAGAATGTCGCGAATGTTTCCCTTCGTCATGTTGCTGACCCAGTCGTTGATGCGCTCGCGTACACCGTTTGGATCCGTCTGGAAATCGGTCTTCTCCAACTGATCGCCGAAGAAGTCCAGCATGCACTCCCTGACTTTACGTTTGTCCGTTATCCACAAACGGTTGGCCGACGCGAGCTCGTAGTCGGGTGTCTCGTTTTTCTAAACGAAACACGAAAAAAAGATAAACTCTTAATAATTGCGGCGACACTTGACAACGTTCCTTTCACTGTATAAAAATATTAGGTTGTCCGGAAAGTTCATGCCTATTTTTAAGTAAAATTCAAAGACATATTTGAATTTTGATGTACATATATTTATTGAATTGTATATGTACCATTTTGTTCCACAACCTTTCCACCCGTTAAGGAATGTACATATGTTATTTGTTTTCAGCCATTCAGATATATTCAGACCTGTACCGCGTACTAAAAATCGGCATTGACTTTCCAGACAACCCGATAATTCCTATTAGAAAACTTGACGAGTCACCTTAATAAAATAAACGAGTATGGAATTTATTATTGAATAATAAATACTACAATTATCAATTCTTACAGCGATCGGCTACCGATTAATTATTAATGTACTGTACTATTTATTATTCGCTGATACATTCGATATTATTTATTTTATCATAGTAATTTAGTGAATTTTGTGAGAAGGCTACCTGAGAGCTGAGTTGTCCGAGGGATTTCTCGAAGCTGTAATATCGTTGCATGTCGACCTTGGACAGATCATGGGGGATATTCAAAGCCTTCCTCAAGGCCTCCTCTGTGGTGCCACGAGCGCCAAAGTACGCCAAGGACAGTGCCTGGTAAATACTGTGAGGACTGAAGAAAATGTTGCCCTGCTGCTCCAACGCCGCAGCTTTCTTCATGGTGTCGAGAGCGAAGTTGTATCTGGCGTCGGTCAACGCCTTCTTCGAAGAGGGATTCATCATCGCGGGGCTGTCATTGCCTGTGAGGCATTGAGTCGAAACGCCTCCCAGCAATAACAGCACGGGTAGCACCGACAGTGCCTGAAAAGAGAGATAAATTAGAACAAAAAATATATATATACACATGTCGAATTGAGTAACCTCCTCTTTTTTCGAAATCAGTTAAAAATCAGAGTCTTTCGTTTAACCGAGGATATTTGTAAAATTGATCCGTATTGCAATATTCAAACACCTCGGTGAATAAAACGTAGATATTATAATACACAATATATTTAATTACGATGATATCATGTCTAATGTCAGTAGGTTTATATACTCAGAAATTACTTCCTAAATGATTCAAAATATAAATAAATGTTTTAGGCAAATATTGTATGGTGTCGAGTGCATATTGAATTTTTTAATTGAACACTGTGCATTTTATTGTGTAGCCCAAGTGACACGTCAACTCGAGAGTTAATTATCCTACAATAGTTTATGTAAAATTCATGTAGGTAGTGTTTCGTAAACTTGTTTGAGAATAGTATAATAGATACAGTCATTATTTAATTTCGCGCTACTAATCGAGTTACGCGGGCGCCAGACTTTGAATTACAGGAACGCCAGCGCCTCTAGTTGAGAAATAGGCCCGGGAGACTTTTCCTCCGTCTACAATTAAATACGAAGCAATTGTGCTGACTGCTACAAACAGAAAACTAATCACAGAAATTCTTAATACACTTAAAACACAAATAGACGAACAACTACTACCACCGATGAATATTTAAATGAAACAAAATATGACAGAGTTAACCGCGTATTAGAGAGCTATAAATCAAATTGGACTGCGTCAGTTTCATCGTAAAGATTGCTCAGCCTTCGAGCACTGTTTTTCTCGGAGAACCACAAGATAAAAATACATGTTCACTCAACGATTATTAGTCACCGACTAGTATTTCGATCGACAAGTTTCGCAACCCGAGCTATTCAGCCGATAAAGAACGACAACCGTGCACTTTATGCCCGATACGCAGAAGAACGATCGCGGGCACGAAAGAAGACCCTCGAGAAGTGAAACGCGAACGAAACGCGAACGAAACGCGACCGAGCTCACGTCGAACGTATCGCGGCGCGTGTGCGTAAATTACGCAAAGGTAAATTGCACCTTTCGAAAACATCCAGACATGTCAGGAGTAATTTTACGCGGCGTTCCGAAATCCCTCGAGTAAACGACGATCTTTCAGGAATTTGCGAGTTGCGAATACTTCACCGATTGGAAGGTGCGTAATCGCAGGCGTGCACGAACTGTACCGAAGAAAATTCGAAAGTGCGAGCCGCGGGTTTTAAAGTCGCCCACGAATGTGGAACAATGTGTTATAGGTAAACGCAAACAGATGAAGCAACGGTGAAGTAATTACGCAAGTGGACTCGAGTTGAAGGAGTCTGTATTCAAATAATGAGTAATTGGCGAATGAGAATATAATTTAGGGGTAGAATGAGAAGAGAGAATAGAAGATTGTTCGTGGCAGCGGAATGAATATTGCGTGTTAGAAAAAAACAGCGAAGTTAGAGACTTTCACAAATTATATGCAATGGACTAAGAGGAGAACACTGAAATTACAACTAACAAGTCACTTTGAAAATATATTTCAAACTTTTTTCCGAAGATGAAAATTCCCAATAAGAAAACATTGCTCGATTGATAGCGTATCAATCGCTGCGAGAGCAAATACGGAGCCAGTTGGAAGGTTTCGCAGAAAGACTTTCTCGTCTCTAAGTGGAGAAAGCGATGCTATCTCCATTAAAGATAAAACAAAAAACAAAAAGAAGGACAGTGAAGCATGACAACAAGAGCTTTTGCGTGGCTCGGAGCATTTTGCAATGGACTCCATTTCGATCACCGGCACGACCGTGACCTCTGATAGTAATTTATACACGTATCGAGATCGTGCTGCGCCCGAGGTCGACGCAATATATCTGCGAATCGTTACACACGTCATCCCTCTGTGGGATATTTTTTATTCAACGCAGGAGTCACGCTCTGATTACTACAACTAGGTATTGTGCGATTAGAGTGGGTCCCTCGTGCTTGTATTTTGGCATTGACGAATCATTTTCGGATCCATGAATTGCAAACGAGGAGATTAGAGTAACTCGGTGTTTGAAAATGTTCTTTCTTTGTAGTTAAGGGTACCGTGTGACTTTTAGTTATCGATAGACTGCGGTTGTTTATGCATCAATGGGAAATAAAAATACAGGGAGATCTATGAGAATGTGTATACACCCAAAAATATTTAAAACATCGATAATAATATTATACACGTTACACTTCTCGAAATTCATGAATTTCGAAGTTACAGATACAAATACCACGATAAACGTTTGATTATGCAGTTTCCAACAGTACGTAAACAAAGTTAAATCGTAATAGAAGCATCGTAATAGAAGATATGTTTGAGCATTTTTCCACGAAAGATAAGAATATAACAGGACCCTAAAGTGTAAAAGTGTTTTTGTTCAGCCCATCCGACTAAAATGTCCAAGCGGTTTCGAAGAAAGATCGACGCGAGTGTTGCCGTCACAGCCGCGAACCCCGACGAAGATTTTACGATGCGTGATCGAAGGAGAGCCAAACATCGGGACAGGTGAAAGCAAACGAGCAAACCGTGACATCATAGAGTCCAACTTTCTTGTCTGAAATTAACTTGTGACGGGTCCCATGTGACGAAAGCGAGAGAAAACTACCGCGCCTTCGCGTTCGTTCCTGATAGGGCGACCCGGACGCGTGAGAAACTCGCTTCGTTATTCCACTTTGCTATCACCTTATGCAAACAACAAATCGTATTTTACGTAATTTCGCGTGCGACTTTCCAGCACATCGATTGACAACGGTTCATTTATCGATTGCGTATTCTTTCACGGAAAACGCTTACGTACTATGTATTTTAATGGAGACTTTTAGACAGCAATTATCTTTCGAACTTTCTTCGATCACTTTTACACGGTGGCTTTACTCGTGGGTTAGCTTTGCGAACGTTTTTATAAAGTTTTCTATTTAAACTGTAGAACTCTTAAAATCTAGAATAATTTCAACGGTTCAATCGATGTATATTCATTTTGAAATGTTTAATTCTATAATTTAAACTACAATTTTCTATACGTCAAGTAGAGGATAAACAATTGTCCATTATTTAGTTATTTTTTGAAACATCTCTGACAGACATTTCACGAGATTATGTCGAATATTCATCAATGCCATCGGAGACAACAGTGGCATGACAAATAAATTCTTCGTGCATGTACGTGTCCGACTTAGCAAACGAAGCACGTACGAGGCGCGTAATCGCTGTACCATTCGTCAGCTTTACACAAAAATTGTGTTAAAATCAAATTATCGACAGCGATTATCTTGTTAAACGCAGGTCTGCGATTACTCGTCAAATTTGCCTGTATTTCAATTATATTCACCGAATTACATTACAAGAAATGTAATTCGAATACTTGATTAGTTGAATTATATTTAGCGAATTATTTTGCAAGGAATATAATTCGACTAGTCGAGTATTCAAATTATGTCATTATTAACCTCTTCACGACCTTGGTCACATGTATGGATGTTTAGTTCTTTTATAATTATAATTTTATAATTATAATTCGAATGAAATTTGAATCGTGTTTGCATTGTCGCCAGGTCACCCTTTTGAAAGCGATTAAATCATCAGTGAAGCCACAGATGTCCTTCACGCTCTATGGAATGACTGACGTGAAACGAACCAGGAAATGTTTTACAGTTTTTGTAATCGCATTAGGTGACATTATGACGATAAAGCACGGAAGCGTCGTCATATTTTTAAATTAGAAATTAGAAAAAAATAAACAAAACAAATGGGAACATCGATTAGTTGGAAACGAGTAGATGAGCACGAGAGAGAAATGATGAATACGCAGTAGGCAATGGAAAATGTGAGAAATTGGGCAAAATTACAGGAAGATAGGCGCGATAATTAAAATTAAATTTTGTGTATGAAGTGTTCTTTGAAATTTATTTCAAACATTTTTAGAAACAAGCTTCTCTAGTTTGTTATTCGAAATGTAATCGAGCAGAATTAATGAGCCAAGGACGAAGAAAACATGCAATGCGATAACATCGTGGCTTGTGTTTCTGCCATAGGTCACGTACCAAACGTAATCTTCGTAAATCGTAGACGTTTACAAGAAACGCTTGAAATTCTGCCGTGTTTATCTGTTCCAGTGACACCGAAACGATTTCCATAGGTGACAGATTGGAAGAAGAATTGAATAATTCTTCGAAATATAGGAAAAAATAATTAAGCTCAAATTTAACAAATGTATGAAATACTGAGAAAGGTTGTGTAACGTTTTTAAAACTTTCCCACGTGGGTGACACTAGAGGATCACGTCATTAGAGATACCTTGATACAACACAATGAATTACTTTTATTGCTTCCTAATCCCAACGAATTATTATACTCGAGTATTATACTTCAAGTTCTGTTTACTTAATTTTCAAGAAATCACTAAACAAGCTAACGTTCTTATTGATTCCTAAAACTAATCAAATTGTTTATACTCTAACGGTCCCAATAATTTTAATATAATATTTCATTTGTTCAATTTCAAACAAGTCACGAACCACGCAATTGTTGTTGTTCCCTGAGGCTAACGGAATTGGCATTGTTTACTCTCTACAGATCCTAAGAAGATGATCAAACAATTTATTCGTTTAATTTCTAACAAATCGCGAAAGAAGCAGAGGTAACAACTATCGTTGCACCCTGAAACTAACCCGTCCAAATTATTTATAATCTACAGATCCCTAGTACGCAATTTAATATTTCGTTTATTCAATTTCTAACAGATCAAGAAAATAAAAAATCGTTACACATTACTATTACTCCCTGAACTCGGCAAAGTTAACATTGTTTACACTCTAGAGATCCCAGAAGCGCAATTTAAAATTTGGTTTATTCAATTTCTAACAGATCAAGAAAATAAACAATCATTGCCATTAGTATTACTCCCTGAACTCAACAAAGTTAACATTGTTTGCACTCTAGAGATCCCAAGAGGGCAATTAAAAATGTCATTTATTCAATTTCCATCGAATCACGAATCAATCAAACCTCCTCAGAATTATTACTCCCTGAACTCAACGAAACTAGCATTGTTTACACTTCAGAGATCCCAAGAACGCGACTCGACGGCCATCGACGGTTCCCAAAGGAAGAATTCATCGGGACTCACCGGTTGGAGAACCATGTCCGAACCAAATCTGCAGAACTTATCTCCTCGATCACGAAAAAACGTCCGTTTATTGCTCGCAACCAAGCTAAACTGAGTGCTCGACGGAAAAGCCGGAGTCGCGATGCCCTGGCGAGTATAACTGGCTCCGCGACCGGTTCCCCACCACTGTTTCGCTGTGGAGACGGGTGTCGCGTCTACTCGTCGAGCACGAAATCCTTTCCAGGCCGAGCACAACTAGTCGTTGTTGATTCTGCGATACTGGAAATGCCCGGTCGTAAAAACTTCATTGTCAGGGAATTCCAAGCGATCGCGCGAGTCCGGAGGGCGGCCGACGCGTCGAATTACGTGGAGAAATATGGAATATGTAGTTCCGTTTCGTTATTTCTTAAAACGTGTAACCATAAGCAATAATTATTACCGGACTGCGGATCTTTATGCATTTACAGGAAATTCAAACGCGCAAGAAACTACAAGATGCGCACAGTATGCAAGAATAAAATAAAAAAAAATATTGATAGTAAATTTCGTATTATATAATATTTGCAGAGTAAAATAAGTTACTGTGTAGGTTCAATTTTTGTAGATACGTTCGCAAAGATTTTATTTTCCATAAAGATCTGCAGTCTTGTCATCTAGTTAGTCCGTTTAATGATCCGTCCAGTTTCTCGCGTGATTTCACGTTATTCATTCGTATCGATGTCACGCGAACGCTTCTCGCTGGCTTCCGGATTTTCCCATATCGCGCATCGTCACGAGTAACTCGTGCATTTCGCTTTTACGACGTTGGCCCATCGCCAGAGAAAGCGAATCGAAAATAAGTATACGATTGTTCGCGCGTGAATCCTCGAATCACGCTCCCCAGGTCGAGATGATTAGGGGGTCAAACGGTACAATGAGTAATTGAGTGATCCCCTTAAGTAACTCCGAAGGCAATTAAGCGATACTGCGTCTTGGTTTTTGATTCAATAATCATTGGGGTAATTGGGTCCCCCTTTCTTCGACGTTTGCTAGAAATAACTCAAAGATGCAAGTCTGACTTTCTCTCATTTCTAAAGGGACTCTAGGATTTTGATTTTTGGTGAAACACAAATTTTACGGAATATGTATACAATTTTTACGAGAATTTTTAACCCTTCGAACGCCAAAAATTCTCTTTTTATACGAGGGACTAACTCTAGAGCAATTTTAAAGTGCTACTTTTCAAAATAAAAAAGGGTTCCTTCTATCTTCGAATTTTCCTATGTTCTTTGGATGTCCATAACAACAGTGTTTATTATTTCTATAAATGGACGGTTGCGTTGCTGTTGCAGCCAATTAGCCACGTCGAATGAAACATGTATTGAAAGTCAGCGCTGTATTATGTAAGTGATTATATTCGCTTTACGGAAATCAAAGATGATCACTGTTCTTCGGATTATACCTGAATTATTCTAACAAAAAGCTGTCCCAACTAATCCAATAATGAATGAAACTAGAGTCATAATTAAACGAATGCGAAACCACGGAATGATTGCCTACACTGAATATTAACAAGTTAAGAATAATCCTGGTTGCTCTGATCAAATCAAGACTGATTCAACAATGAATGAAACTGGAGTTATAAATAAGTGAATGTAAAAGCAAAGAATGAATGTTTACACTGAATATTAACAAGTTAAGAATAATCCTAGTTGCTCTAATCAAATTAACCATGTTATTGTACCTTCTCACAGAAATGTTTCCTATTTTCAAGTTCGAGACATCCTCGGCACATTTGCTACAAAAAATCCGCGAGGTATGGCAGGTTTCCTTGAAACGAATTTTACAACAAAATGCCTGAATAAAGGAACTCCGTGATTTGAATTAAATAATGTCTGCGAAGCCCGTGTTTTTAAACTCTAAGCACGGGAATACCTTACTTATTCCAAACACGACGATCTTTCTTCCTGAACTTGACTGAAGGAAATACGAGGACGGTCCTTTGTCACAACCGTCGCCTTATAATTTGCATTTAACGATATTTTTATAAACTGCAATATTTTGAACGAGAGACTTGTGCATTCGACCCACGTTTCCTATTAAATATTTCAACTAGCGTTGGAAATAATGAAGACTGTGAACTTTATGCGTTTACAACATAAATACATTAAAATCATTGTTAACACAATTAATTTTCTTCGTTAAAATGTTCTTAGGGACGTATTACTTTGTTAAAGGAATATTATTATTAGTATAATCGTTTTAAATTATAAATTATATTTAAGTGAATCCAGGAAGTCTCACTTGTGCGAAGCAAAATATTAATATTATTATATTATAATATATACGACATTAACTTTATTATATTAATATTTTGTTTGGCATAACGCGTTCTGGATACGTTCAGAACATATTTTTCGCGTTATCGGAACTTCACATCGAGTATTATTAATAATACTTTGTTTACCATCAATCTGTAATATAAAAATATGTGATAACCTACAACGTTTAATCTCTTCAAGAATACTGACGAATATATGTATTAATGTAAAAGTCATTTCAACTACTGTAGCATAGAAATTACCACCGATAAAGTAAATAAATATTGATAATAAAATTTTCCAATGGTATATATTATCATATTATCAAATTATCTCCAGTGAACTCCACTTTTTATTTCTTCCAACAAAGTAATTCGTCCCTAAGAACATTTTAATACGTTGACTGCCAGACAAATATTTTTGAAAATCTCTATTAAGCTTAAATATTATTTAAACTATTGGAAACTACATAATTAAACGTTTATCGTGGTATCTATTTTTGTAACTTCATTCAAATTCATTACCTTTGATTCTTGACTGTCAGAATTCAATTTTTTAGTTCTTCAGTGAGAAGCACTGACAGTTAACAATAAATTCAGTAATAATCTCGTACTTAGTTTCAGCGCCATTTTACATCTATAAACGTTCTTTTACAGCCTCTCACCTGTGTGTTCCTGGCAAACATGTCGTTCCCGAAAAATAGAATCACGCTGAACTTCTTTTTTTCAGTCGTCAGTGCGTCAGTCTTCAGTTTTCAAATAACTCCGAAGCTCGATGGCCTCCAAGAACAATCTCAAAGAGGACGCAGCCTCCGTCGTCCCTTTCGTACAGCATTTATACCTACGCACAGACGCGTCAACTCGCGTTTCTTCGGCAAAATATGCGCTGCGTGGGACGCAGGGAAAATCCCAGGCGATTATCGTTGCTCGCTGTCACGCGTTTGTTTCAACCACGTGTATTGTCCTCTCTTTTTTCCCTCTGTTATTGCGATTTTTTCAATCCTCTTTTGCGGTCGTCGGCCAACGTGTTCCCAGAACGCGGTGTTTACAAAACAGCGCGACCAATTTGCAGAATCGTCATTATCGGTATTTGTTTCAAGAGGGTATTGTAATCCGGAGCGTTGATTTCCAGGTTTTCGTTTGTATTTTATTGTTTAAATTTATTAGGAATTTTTAAAATTGAAGAATTTGGAGCATCACGAATATCGGCTTGGATATCGACTTCTTTCTAGTTTTTTTTTTATTTTCATTTTAATGGTCTGTAAAAAGTAGAAAGAAAATCAGATTTTGAAAACTTAAAGTAGACTAGAATACCCTCTATACTATAGAGTCTATAGTAAGGCCCAACGGGCCTGAAGGAAGCTCGGGTACCTCGGGTTCGCCAAACCCGTACCGCAGCTGCCACCAATCGCAGCTACAGCCCCTGAGTACTAGTTTCTAATTTTTATGTATTATTTTATGTATCAACTAGGAAATCGAAGGATCTATAATATCTCTATAGTATCAGTTAAACGAATGATTGCCAAATTCAGGACCTTCGTGCGTCAAATAGCTTTGCGTCTTTCGATTCGATCGTTCGTAATGATGAGTAACCTAACCCGTAGTGCACGTTCAAAATGATGATTGATGGTCGAATAAGTGTTAAACAATGTTTGAAATGATAGAAAGGAAATAGAAACTCCCCAAAGTATAAAAAAGAAAAACAGTCCACAAGTAACATATATTACATACTTTGATAAATAAATTACTGAGTTTTTCACTGATACCATTATTAAAAATGGATATTGAGTTTTGTTTGCTTATTTCACTAATGCTTTGTTAAATAAATGATGTTCGCTATATAATCAGTTTGTGAGCCAAAAAACAGTAATGTAATACAAAAAAAATGAGAGTTTACAAGTAACCTATTTGGATGCTTTGATATATAAATAATTTTCCTACTACATAATCCGTATTGTAAATCAAAAGCAGATGTAATAACAAATGACAGAATTGAATAAGAAATATTAGTTATAACATGTCTTAGGTATTTTATTAAGATGGCACATTTCGCAGGAACCTTCCCGTCCAATGCTGAAGCACTCGATAGGCGTATGTATCTTTGTTTGCACGATTATGTTCGAGCCTACTTTATCCAAGACGGCCAAGACCAGCAAGCGAAATAGTGATTTTCTGCGACGACTTCAGCATGAAGATGGTGCGACCAAAGAAAAAGATTTTCGAGAAGAGTTGTCGGCCACGGAAGTGCCAAGCTTCGGCAACAGGACGTCGCTGAAGATGTTGGAGGACATCACAGCAAAGGTGTGGCGAATCCTGCCTGTGATTGGCGTACCTAGAAGCTGGGTGCTGGCGTATTGCATGAGGTACACCGAGATTTCCGAAGAAGTGGAAAAGGCGTCTATGAGCTGCCAGCACGATGGAACAGATTGGGACTGTGTTTTCATTGAATTGGTACTGGTATTACATCTTCCATAATATTTAGTTACTGTCCTGTTGCAATTAGCGGGCTATCTTCAAGGCTGTTCATTATGAAAATAATGCAACTTCAGAATTTTACCTGGAAGTGGACTCTGATAATTCCTTATTCTGTCATGTTATTACTTCACTATTCATTTTTAAACGTAGTAGAATAATTTTTATCCATTCTATTATTTCAATGAATCTTCAGCTTCATCTTCGGGTCTCCAAGAATTCTTTATTGTTCCATGTTATTATTTTACTATTACTTTAGAGCATGTATGAATAATTTTTGTTTGTTGTGATTTATGTAAAAAGCATTCCAACTTGACCCTGATTTTATCGCAATAAATCTTCAGTCTGAACTTCAGCTACAAGTCGTGAAAAATTCCTTATTCTTTAATTTTAATTAAAAAAGACTCGAGACTTGGATTACGAGGCAAACAATACCAAACTGGTGAGAATCGTCATGCGTCTCTTAGACAGGAATCACTGTAACGTCATTTAACACTTTGTGACCAGGGTGGAGGACAGGACGACTTTAACGTGGGAAAAGTCGTGTCTTTGTTTCACAACCTTTCCAACCGAGATTTGAGATTCAAGCTACTCCGTGGAGCCGAAATCTGTGGCAGATTATGGCAACGATACAAACAAGTCCAAGAAAAACGACTGATTGGCATGCGTCTAAGCGTTCGCGTGAGCTGATTAATAAATATATGAAAATAATGGAGGATGTTGAGAAATTGTCAATTTTATAGTAATTAGGGTATCTACTTCATTGATAATTGGGAAAATTATATTTAAATAAATCACTTAAACAATATATCTAACTTTTAGTTGCTTCTCGAAAATTGACTATTTCACATCCTCTTTTGAAAGTAGCTTATAGTTGTAATATTTATAGTTGAAAACTTGAAATAAAAGGAAAATAGCAGGAGGAAACGAAATTTGAAAAAGAATCGACGCACACCCGGCTCGAAAACTCGAAAGCATTCAAGAAATAAGAAAAAGGAAGACGAACGGGACGAAGAATTGAAGAAACTTAGGCAAGCTACCAAGGAAATAAAAGCAATTCGTCGATCGCTGATCAACAAAATTGCGGCACTCGAGAATAAAAGTAATAATCTAAACTGCATTTGCTGTAATAAATATTCCATCATTGGATACTTATCACAACAAAATTTTACTTCATTAAATCGTACAAATTACTTAGAATATTCTCCAAAATCAATGTATTTGAATCACTTCTATCTCGAATCCATCAAATTGATCCAATAAAATTAAACAAGATTATTTGATTCAATTATTTATAATTAAAAGAAAACAGAAGAACGAAATAATCTAAATTACGTTATTAAAATTGCAACCTAAAGGGAATTATTATTCCAGAGCCTTTGAGTCCTGAGGAAGAAACGGAACTCGAAAAATTACAATTAACAATGGCGAAGAAGCCTAGCATAGAAGAATATCCCATAACAGCAGAACGATCAGAGTTATCTCGTCTGGAAGATGTAGGATCATGCTTGTCGAGACAAGCTGCGAAAGCTTGCGAATCCGTTGTTCTCGACTCTGTTCAAAAATTGGTATAAACACTTGTATTATTGGTATTAAAAAAAATTTGAGACGAAAGGAGACTAATTATTGCCTAATTTATTATTAATACTATTATCATTATCGTGATAGCCATTTAGTGGTGGATAGATTGAATTGAAATTCCGACCTTTGATAAGGTTTAGTTTTACATACAATTCTTTGCCCGGGGCCTCGGAGGAAAACGTATCCGTTACTGACCCTCAATTTTATGGACCAGGGAACGCTATAGCCATCTCGCGGTGAGAAGATCGAACTAATTTTGAATGGGTGCAGACTAAACCTGTGTTAGTTTATAAGCCAGAAGCACAGAAATAAAAATGTAAGTACTCAGGTAATTGCACGTTGCAAATAACATAGTAAATAACATCTAAAATTAATGTTTTAAGCAATTAATTTGTAGAACATTGGTCAACGCCATCGGTTTGAAAAGGTAGTCCTATTTACTTAAAAAATTAGGCATTAGACAATTATTAGTGTACTAATCGGTAATTATTAGTTGAATTATGGTAGTTGGAATGCAATATTACATTTATATACAGAGAAAAGTAGAGAATGTATGTGTATTGCATACTAAATACATAAAACTACAATTACATGTTTTTATTTTCGTATTGCCATTTTCGTAGCGACATCTAGTGGCTGGTGGTGGAAACTATTTCACAACGAACTTGAGAGGATTGTTAAAAGATGGCGCCACATTTTTCGTTTTTTTTTTAATTTAAAAAACTTGATATCGATCAATTAGTAGCATACAAATCAACAATTAACTGTAGAATTACGATAATTATAATGTAAAATTACATTTATATACAGAGAAACGTAGAGAATATTGGATATTCGCATTTCCGTGGCGACATCTACTGACTCGACATGGAAACTATTTCACAACGGACTTGAGGGGTTTATCGAGAGATAGCGCCACATTTTTCTTTTTTTTTTTATTTAAAAAATTTTGTATCAATCTATCAGTGTACAAATCACCAATTAACTATTGAATTAAGATGACTATGATGTAAAATTACATTTATATACAGGTAAAAGTAGAGAATTTATGGTTTGAATATTTTCATGTTAGTGGCGACATCTACCTGTGCAAGGTGGAAACTATTTCACGAGCAGCTTGAGCAGTTCGTCGAGAGATGGTGCCACATTTTCCGGTATTTTTATTTATTTAAAAAACTTGATATTAGTCCATTTTTAGTGTACAAATCAACAATTAAAAGTAGAATTACGATAATTTCGATGTAAAATTATATGAATATACAGAGAAGAGTGAAAAAATGTGTATATATCTCTGTTGGTGAGGAACGGTGGTGCCACCACAGATTTCTGTAACACGCGATTAGATAATAATGATATTTTATAAAAACTGTTTGTACTCCCAATGTTTACAGAAATGAAATTTTAAATAGAAATGATGTTTCAATGTATCTATATGTTCTGGATGTGGTCTAGAATTTATTATCCTTTAACAATCGTATATCACCTCCTACTTTAATACAAAAAATGGTATTCATATTCAAGAAACAAAATACAATGTTCTTTAAATTAGCTAGTAGTTGAAAAAAGAAAGAGATATCGGAGAAATAGTACGAAGCATAGCGATACATATTTGAAGTGAAATATTACAAAAACCAATTTCCGCGAAATGAGCGCCAGTACCAAATGCATGCGTCCGTGTATCCTCGGCCCTTCCGGCTGCTCTAGAGGAGAGCGGAGCTCAGGGTAGGTCAGAAAGGAAAGAAATAAAACTATGATCCACGAACGTTAAAAGAGGCTTTTATTAGCCGAAAGTTCCTCGCGGTACACACACCGCAAAGGAGAAAGGTGCGGCGACTACGCGCCGAAGAGGAACCGCGACACGGAATTCCTTATGCAAAATGGCGGCGAAAATCAAAAGAATCGGCGCGACTTAATTCTACGGGGGTTTCGGAAACAAAAAGTTCGCCCTAGAATCAAGATATAAACAAAAAAAGGTATAACGCCGCCCTTTCCTTCGGAAACGCGGCGCGTTTTCAAACCGCCGAAAGTCACGCAGAAGAAACGCGAAACAAACGGAGGAAACTCCAAAGGGTTCTCGCCTCCGGTGGTGGTCCTGTCGCGGACGGGAAAGTGCAGTCCGGAGCATGCTGGCGGACACACGCACACACGATCCGCGAATTCGCACGCATACAGAAATGAGACCCCAACGCGTGGGCCCTACCTGATCTCTGCTGGCTTCGAGGTCCAAGATTTTGGGGCGCAGTCCCGGTTGGTTCTCTGCGGGCGTGGAAGGACAGCAACCACACGCCACACACGCGCGAAAAAGAACTACTTTCGGCTTTAAAATTCGCGAAAAGGGACTTGCTTGGTACGTCTACTCGCCTCGCGGCTTAACCGTAAATTAAATTTTTCGTCCATCGTCGCGCTCTTCTCGTCGCCGGTTCACGTCTCTCCTCACCCAGGAGATGTAGGGGCTCCATACGATGGGCCACCACCATAACGTCCAAGCAGGATCAGTTCCTGGTCCTGTTCCCCGTGGCAGCTGCAGAGCGATGGGAGGGCTAACCATCTCGGGAGGGTGGCTGGTCCTCCGGTGGTGGCCGTACCGGAGTCTTAGGGTGAAGGACATCGCGACCGACGACTTGCCGCGCTCGCACAAAATCGCGACTCGCGAGAGGAGAGGGTGGGGCGCAAAAAAGGGGTCCCTAGTAGGGGTGTGCGGGATCCCGGTCGGAACGGGAACTCCTCCCGGGATCGGGATGGAATCCCCAGAAATTCGAGATCCCGTAAATGTTCGGGATTCCCGGAATTTCGAAATCCCGTACATTCGGATTGCTGAAATTTTCGATAATAACAACACTTTCGGAAATCCCAGATATTATTCTATATCCCGTACATTGTCGGGAATCGCGTACATTCTCAGGAATCCCGTACATTCTCAGGAATCCCGAACTTTTGCGAGATCTCGTGTATTCTCGGGAATCTCGAATCAACTCGGGATCCCGCATAAACTCGAGAATCCCGAATATTCTCGGGAATCCCGGACATTTTCGGGAATCCTGGATATTTTACGGGAATCCCGAATATTTTCGGGGATCCCGCACACCCCTAGTCCCTACGCAAAAACGGAGCGCGACATAGTTTACTAAATCCGCATCGGATAAGCAATCATTTTGTTACATTAATGTTCAATTTCCTACGTATATTTTGTGAAAAATTGTTTAAATATAGCGACGTTACTGGTAAAAGAATTTTTTTAAAGGAGCGTGAAATCGTGCATATACAGTCAGTGTAAGAAGTATTCGTAACCATTTATTTTAAATGGGTTGCTGTATGAATACTTTTTACATTGACTGTACAGGGTGTAAAGAAATGTTTGGTGTTGGCAAGCATAGGCGTATTCTACATCTTCGGATCGATGAAGATTTGTAATATGAAGTTGTCCGCAAAATTGTCCTTGACCTTCAATTTCAAGGTCAAATTTTTTTGGAATTGTATATTGTATTCTACACATCGTGAGGATAAAAAGTTATCATAAAAAATAATAGTAGAGTTATTACTAATGAAGCAAGCAGTTACTATTATTGTTTATCTGCTGTTTATTGGAAATCTAACATATGTACCAAAAATTTGACCTTGACATTCAAGGTCAAGGACAATTTTTCGGCAACTTCTTTTTTACAAATCTTCATCGATCCGAAGATGTAGAATACCCCTATGGTTGTCAACACCAAACATTTCTTTACACCCTGTACGTTTTGAGAAATCTATGAAAATATAAATTTCTGTTTCAATAAAATCGACTCGAATTCGTAAAATAATAAAATCACGATAAAAATGTATCAAACATTAAAAGAGAAAGAAAATAACAGATAGTTTTAACAATAAGCGTCATATCTCATGAAATTTTCATCAAGTAGTACAGTAATAATCATCACCACAGACGTTACAATAGAGTAACTTTAGTATTATATTCTTTTTGTTATATAATATTTTATCGTTTTTGCAGTCCATGAATAATAATAGGTAATATATATAATATACATATAATATGTATACATATATTATATATAATTTGCAATAGATATAGAATATGCATAAAATAATCGGTTGACAATAATTTCTATTATTATCTAATCATCAAGCATAATTGTTACAAATAAACTTAAAATGTCGTAATAAGCCCTTGCACCTTTTTAACAAAGAAAGGTGAGTCCTTTCAGCCACAGGCACCAGGTTATATGTCCATCAAAGTTTAAAATGGTAATTGATTTAAATGACACTTGCTTACAATATTGTTCTCGCATAGATTTTTTCATTATCAACAAAAGTTTAAGCATTTTACAAGGGTTAGTCCACATATTACAGTTTTTTCTTCTTCCATATCTCGTTTTTTTTCTTTCATTTTTAATTTGTACGTTTTAAGAAACACCTTTTCGACGAATAGCACGCAACACCACACTATATGCTTAACTGTCAGCAAGTTTACTCAATATCCCGTGAAATTGAATTACGTTCCTCTTCATAGTGGTTATGAGTAGATAATATTTATGATGTCGACGCGACGCTAATTATCATACAAGTTGATTATTTAACAGAAGGAGATAGTCTCAATGATGAGAGTTCTGTCACAGGAATTAGAAGCCCTTTGTGTATCCAAGAAAGCAAAGGTAAGTAGTAAGACGATAATTAGTCGTAGCGTGCTTCCTTTACGTTGATTACTATCATGAATAGTATTAAATTTTTGTTGTATCCATCGCTACTGACGCGAACCTCCTCTGCCTTTGCCGCGACCACCATCTCGATCCTATAAGCAAAATATAACAGCGAACGTAATATTTATGTAATTGAATATTGCCTTTTTACAAATAATTGCATAACCAGTAGCCAGGAGGATTGCTTGTATCGTCGAATCAAGTTGGGCAAATACTCTTACCTACTGGTTACATAATTACTTAACACTATTTAGAATCAAAGCACAGTTGAGTTCGTATGACTCTGTTCGCTTTATTTATTACAATGTCTTAAAGTTACTACTTACTTTGCGTTGATGATGCAAATGTGGTTGAAGATGATGTTCCCCTCTTGGTAAATCCGCGTGTCCTCTATTTCTGTGATTGGAAGAATGATGATGCTGTATAACATTTACTGGTGCTTTACGCTGATCTTCCTCCGCTTGCTTACGTTCGTAATGTCCAAAGTCGTCGAAGATACTAGTAGAATGCCGATAAGTATGCAATATACGCAACACTGTCACTCCTTTTGCGTGGGGGACTTCCTGTGCATCCCTCGAATTAGTTACTGGTTTATTCTCATTGTTTTCTAGTTTAATGTGACGAAGTTGTACATTAGGAACATCCTTTACATAAATCCAACGTACACGAAATTGACCTTTCCATTTATCTTGGGACCAAACGGAGCTATTACTTTGATAATCGACGGATGACACCATCTGCGCCATACCGCAAAAATGACCAGATCCGTTCACGGAAAAAAACAAGTATAACGGTGCACCTTCGCGACTGGCTTCTCTGTACGCTTGATCCAATCTTTTATTACCATGCTCGGTACTACACCAAATTTCGTATTTGATGGACCTATGAATATCATCTTCCGAATAAGATTTGATTACAAAAAACCTAGCTCCTGGAGCGGTTTGATCGAAATCTACAGGGTTATAATCATTCTTCACTTTTAGTTCGTCCAATACGGGATGCGATTGTTGTGTTTGCGTGATCTGCTGTTGTTGTTGCAACTGTTGTTGCTGTTGCTGCTGCTGCTGTTGCTGTTGTTGCTGCTGTTGCTGGGGATGCTGATGTTGATGTTGATGGGGGTGTGGATGTTGATGTTGATGCTGATGTGGGTGTGAATGCTGATGTTGGTGTTGATGTGGGTGCTGATGCGGATGTGGGTGTTGATGTTGATGTTGTTGATGTTGCTGTTGCTGCTGGTGTTGTTGTTGTTGTGGCTGGTGTTGGTGCTGCTGTTGCGGTGGCATGTGAATTTGCGACTGCGGAGGCGACGGAGGTGTTGTAGGCTGTCTGTTCCAACACGGAGGAGGAGGAGGAGGTCTTTGTCTTTGAACCAACGGCGGAGGTGGCGGAACAGGAGGTTGCACTTGTGGCGGCGGTGGTGCTGTCGGAGGAGGCACAGAAGATTTACCTTCGCCCCATGTTCCAATATCCATATTATGCTTTCCTGGCACAATGGGGGGTGGTGGCATTCCAGCCTTCTTTTTCATTCCCTGGGAAGATGAAAGAGGAGGAACAGGTTTGGCGGGTTGACTCGCAACACTGGCCCATGTTATTTTTCTAGGTTCCTTTGCCTCTGGTTTTATAGATTGATTAGATGTAGTTTGTTGATCCTGTCGTGGGACTTCTCCGCTTCCGAGAGATAAGCCTTGCACGCTCTGTTCGATAGTCTTAATTTCGGTATTACTAGGCGTTGGATAATTCTCATTTCCACGTGGTGCCTGGTAATAATCTTCGTAACGCGTCTTTCTCGGAGTGCCCCAAGCACTAAAATCACCGTTTCCGTGAAAATAGTTGAAAGCAGGTTGACCAAATGTACTAAAACCACCTCCCGCGCTAGCGGAGAACATTCCATCCATGCCGTATGCATCGTGACCTATTTGACCTCCGTATCCAGATAGAAATGCAACGGGATCTGTTCCATTCGACCATGTACCATCCCCGGCACCGAATGTTTGATAAGGGAATGAAGTACCTGCATAGTAAGGACTATACGGGTCTCCAGTACCAATTGGATAACTTGAATGATGCGTATTGTTGCCTCCTCTCCATGAATCAAATCCAGTATCTTCTCCGCCAGCATGTTCTGTCTGTGGTTGCTGCTGGTGTTCTTTAGGACCATTGCTCACTATCAGAGATGGAATTTTGTCTTATTAATCTACTAAATGTACTTTTCTTTATAACATAATCTTTAATTGGAGTAGCTCATTATTAAATCATATATTGTACAGTAAGTCCTCAACTTATGAAAATTTGTAGATACACAGTTATACTCCAATTCTTGGATATATACTATATATTAAATAAAGTTTGAATAAGATTTGTTATTTTATTTTTTGTTTATACAGAACCATTAAACTGTAAGTCATTTTAACTAAAATTGTATATGTGAGTATAAACATACATAAGTTAAGGACTCACTATAGATATAAAGCATAAGTTTAATTGTCATACAATAATAATAATAATCATACAATAATAATAAAATCATATTTACGTCAATCAACTGAATTACATTGCACAATATTAATATGTTAGTACAAAAATAATCAAGAGACTGTCTTTTTAAAAATGCCAACGATAAATTCTTCTTTACTTCTTTTTTAAGTAATAATAGAAATTTGAAAATAATTTTGACAGCTACATTTATACAGATACATAAATTACAGCACAAAATATAATATTTGATCTCATTCTCTTTTTAATAAATAACAATTGTGTAAAACAATATTGCTAATTTTACTATTTTTGCGAAATTAGAGGTAGTAGTAATGAAATAGGGATTTCCACAAAATAACCATAAAATGGTGGAAAGAAACCAATTATGAAGTTATGGTAAAAAAATGAACAATAAGTTAATATTTCCATCAACAATCGAAAACACCCGAAATGTAATGAAGCATGTCGATAGGTTAATGTACTACGTATATGTATATACGTAAGCATATAGATATCTGTCAAGACTATACATAACAATTGTTTGCATTATTTAGGAAACTATATACGGTTAATTTACCGTGATATCGAGATAGTTTGATCGGAATTATGCATGCCAAGTACAGATTCGTAAAAATTCTACACGAGCCGACAAAAAAAAATTACACGTACACATATAGCGATTTTCACAACGAAAATTTCGGAGCTTCGTAAATCGCGTTATCGAGAAACACGTAAAAAATAAGGTTGCACAGAGGCATGAAGTACTCACCTTGATTATTGGTTTGTCCTTTCATCCGCTGCATTCCGTTGCATGGAAAAATATACAAAATTTAGAATGGCTGTCTTCAGTGAAAGGTATCTGCAGAATAGCGGTGTGGTAGCAAGTCAACACACTGACCTGATTTGAAACAGCACCTGCCAATCCAGTTGACATAACCTGTCACACACTCTGTCTGCCCTTCACAGACGCCAAATAGACGCCTGTGTCTTAATAAAATAAAGTTTTCAAATGCGATACCACGATTACATACAACAGCGTTATACCACTTCGAGTACGCGAAAACACTTCTTCCGAGGAGAAGTCCTTAACTTCGAATCCGCTAAACCTGAGACCTCCGCGTATTTTCTCGCAATGTCTTGCCGCGAGAGAGTCTCAGGAAATCTTTCCTGTTACACTACGGGATTGATAAATTCGCACGAAATTCTCAACTCCGAATAATAACTGCGTGACGTGCACTGACCTCTCGTATGTATTAACAGATTGTCTAACCTTCGCGCCGATAAGGTCCCTATGTGACGAATTCGTCGTAAACGTAATCCTCTTTAGTAAAATCGACACGCGTGACAAGTTACCAAACTTTAAAATTGCGATTTATTGATGTATAGCTCTAAAGAATCATAATTAATCTCTTTCATTAACCGCACCATATCTTTGCGTTGCGTTAATATTATCTAGTTTCTTACTATCCCTCGGCTAAGGCTAGAGAATCGATGTTGAGTATGGTCGTGTTCGATGGATGTAGAAAACCTTGTGGAGGTTTTTTAACGCTTCTATTCATGTACATCCGTTTAAAGTAATTTTAAACGAATGATAGGTTGGAATTAAACTACATGATCAGTGTTTGGCTAAGATTGAGATAGCCGAGATAAACAGAGTTTTGAACAACTTTAGGTACCACCTGATTCAAAGCCATCCTATCTAACATTCAAAGGAAGTATTATAAATAATTGTAATTAATAAAAAGGAAACAGCAATTGGTCAACGAATTAGTCAAATATACTCAAGAAAGTTCTATAGTTTATTCGAGTAACAGAGAATTTTGTAAAAATACCAGTGGCGCCATCGGTGGAAAAATGCCCAAGTTTGTAATGAAAATAATTCCTCCTCTGTACATTACATTTACGTTGGTCTTGTTTTTTGTAAACGTTTGTTAGGGCCCACTGGCCCCCATCTAGCTAGGGTACCTCAGGGTTGCTAAGCCCGTACCGTAGTTGCATATTCGCTCGCTACAGTCCCTGAGGGCTCGCCTCCAACTAAAATTGAATAACTATTCATAAAAATGATAAATTTTACATATATATTAATATATTGTAGTGTTATAAAGCATGCACTGTATTAACCATGTATTTATAAAAAATAAAGAATAATTTATTAAAATATGTCGGTGGTGCCATCTTAAAGAAACGATGGGAACTATTTTCACTACAAACTTGAATGTTTTGGAATATTTAATAAATAATAGTTTAATTCGTGAATTTATGACGAATGTTAATCCATCTATTGGTATTGCTGAACGAACAAAAAATTAATGTAATTGTCCAAACAGAAACTTACCGTATAATTACATATAATTATTTGAAGTAGGTTACTTCAGATGTTGTAATCACTTTTTCAGTAAAAAATATTAAATCAGAGTTTTTATAATTTACGAATGCATGAATTTAACGATATTAAGTAGGATACTTTATTTTATTATGCACTGTATGATAGTGTATGTTGTGAGAAAGACTAGTGTAAAAATGTTGTATGTTAACACAGGTTTGACGCATGTATCGCTAATGTTTTATAGGAGTTGTAAAACTTAGTATTTGTTATACCAAATCACGACTAACGCTACGTTTAAACGTCATAGAACGTACTTCCGTTCCAGCTTTTCCCGATTTACAAAGATTGGGTGTATTAGGATTCGGAGTTGGACTTTGGGAAAGAGATGCTCGCTCGTCGTTGCTAGATTTTTCTCGTTCCAATCTTTGTTTACTGAATTTTCCCATTCCAGGGCGATATATTTCCATGGTGGGTCGATCCTGTTAATATTTTATGAAAAATAAAGTAACCGAGTATATTATTAATATTTCAATATAAATAAATACGTACCTTGTTTCTAATCCTACGTTCCAATCGTGGATCTTTTTTGTCTTTTTCTTTATCCTCGTTTTCAGCCTTTTGAAGATTATTTTGATCGCCGCCGTCTAAAGATTTATGTCGTCTTAAACAACTTCCATCTCCCGTACCTCCGTCGCCGCCACTTTCAAGGGAACTACGCCTCTTTGTGACTTTTGAATCTTTCTTCTCCTCGGGATCATTCCCCTGGTTACCTTCTTTGTTGATATGTTCGTTAGATTTTGACTTTTGCGTACATTTATTAGTTTCTTCAGTTGTCATTAGACGTACTGTCGTTTCCTGTGCAGACTCTTCCACTGCCATTATATTTTTGTTGGTTTCCTCTTTTTCCTTATTTGTACTAATGTCTACATCATCGTTATTTTTTATAGATTCCTCTTTCTCCTTAATACTTTCGTATAAATCAACTTGTGATTCCTTTCTCTGAGAATCCTCTTCCTCATTTTTTAATTTTATACCACTTTCAGCATCGATATTGAACTCTAGATGTTGTTTTTTCGTTTCTGCAAGTCTTTTCTTTTCTTGCCTCATTTTTTCATAACTTTTACCCCGTCTTTCTTCAATTCTTCGTTCTCTAAAATCTTTAATATCCTCTTTAAAATCACATTTTCTGTCGTCTTTTACATCGTTCCTTCTATCGTCTTTTATATTATCCCTTTCGTCGCGTCTTCCATATACTTTTTTATCATCGTGCCGTCTTTGATGTTTTATTTCTCTGTCTTTGTTTCTGTCTTCAAGTCTTTCTCTATACGCTTTTGTTATCGGTTTGGAATCTCGATCCCAAGATATTTTTTCACGTAATTTATCTTCTTTTTTAATACGATTTTTCATATCTTTTGATGGTAGTTTATCTTTTTCCTCTTTATTTTCTTTATTATCTTTACATGTTTCTTTATCAAGTTCTGGATTTTTTAAAACCTATAACAGAACGAAATTTTTATTTTAAGCGATGAATTCTTACTATGTCTTTAACGATAGATCGTAGTTATCACAGTAAGTTGTATAATAAATGACAATAAATCAAAACACAATTTTCACTTTTTTTTTCTAAAAACAATTTCTCTTACAAAATTTCATGTATACAAACTAGATGATAGTAAATTAATTGTATCTTAATAAATGCATACAAATTTTGCATACAATAAGAAACAGAAAATGTATATAGTATTTAACTAAATCGCATAAATAACAAATTATTCTTTCCCTCCCGTAACCTCATATCATTCGGTAAATAACGTAAATTTCCCTGCTAATCATTTGCAGTTCCTGTTTCATGAATGTTTACGATACGCTGGCAGTCCTTTCTCGCAAATCGTTTTAAAAGGATAAACTTTCGAACAATCGAAAACAGTGCTGCAACTTCTTGATTTTGATATTTCTACCGGTGTATCCATTTTCCAAGTTTTGTGTAAATTACTGAATTGAGATTTTGACAATGCAGAAAAATAATTTTTATTGCTAATGTACTGAGACGTGTATTTAGCGTTATTATAAATATAATTATTTTTAATATTAATCCAATGATCGTATTTATTTTTCCTGCGATTATTATTTTTTTCTTTGTAATTTCTCTCGTAAAAGTAAAATAATTTTGGATGTTTATTACTATAATGCCAATGCTCGTTAACGCGAGGCATGCTTCTAACACAGTTTATGTATATTTCTGTATTTTCATTTCTATAAGATTGTTGCTGCACATTCGATGCATTCTTTTCCATTGACATTGCGATTAGATTTCTATTATTGGAGATTTCTTCTTTGCATTTATAGGGCATACTCAGACTTTCGTTAGAATGATTAAGAAATACATCTTCCGACTTGGCAGTTGAGGTAGTGGAAAGGAAGGAATACTTGGTCTGGTTATCTTCAATGTTACATATGGACTGCAGGGTGAAAAGATTAGTATCAGCAAATACAGTAGAGAATAATGCTTAAAATTTAAGTATACAATTTTCATTATATATTAGGATACATTACACTTTTTTATTCTATACTGTATTTGGAGGTAAATTAAAATGTATTTGAACTAATAGATTGTAAGTAAAAAATATAGTGTCACCTTAGATATAATGGGATCTTCCTTTTTTCGTCTCCTTTCTAAATCTCTTCGCCGTCGTTCCTCGCGTTTCTCGTCTCTGAGACGTTGTTTCTCCTGTTTCAGTTGTTTTACATGTTCCAAAAGTGGCGTGATAGTAACTTTCTTTGGTGTATCTATATAAACAAAGTACAAAATATGAATCTATATATATATAAAACATATTGAAACATAACGTAATTGATAAATGACTTACTATCCTGTGGTTGATATGAATACTCTGTTTTTGGCTGTGCTACATTAGACTCGGCTTCTTGATTTTTAAGACTTTCTAAGAAACTAACATAATAAGGATCCGATTCTATGGTGCCACATTTTAAATCCTTCTTTTTCCCTACTCTTTTTTTTGGCAACCTTTGAAAAGGTGCAAACTCTACCACTGCTGGATATTCTGTGCCTTTGGAGTCAACAAATACATAATTATCAAATTTCTCCCTGAACATAAATATGTCCTGTTGCTCTGCAAAGTTAATATAAGCACGAGAAAAGGCAAATTGTCCCATTGACATGTCAGCTTTCACAAAATATAGATAGTCATTCTCTGGTAAAGGAGAGACTTGCTCTAAGAACTGATCTTGTGTCATAGTTGGAGGAAGTCTTCGTATTACTACCTAAAAATATAATTCAAAGTAAATAAAAATATGCAATGAATTATTTTTTTTCCAGATCATTGAACTTCCTTTTATTCATTATATTAATATAAATGAAATATTTGTTACTTTTTATTCAAAAATCTAAATTAAATGTTATGTGACTAAATGTCAAAACCTAATCTAGTATTTTATGACAATGTTATATCTGCTCTGTGCATCATGTATGGTTTGTTATTTAAAATCTGAGACAATACTTCGTACAAGTTGCATCGCGTGAATACGATTTCTTTTACGAGAATGTCATGTAAATATATTACGCTGAAAATAGAACTCGCATCGTCGTTTTGTCCCGTACATGATGTCTATATAACATTACATGCAGACGAGAAATACTGTACATGAACATTAAACGATTGACGATACTCTCAGCATCGTTGTAATCGATAATACCTTTGTCATAGGTCGGCATTTCTCTTTTTTATTATCTTTAGCTTTTCCGACATCTGGAGAACTAGTTTGTGCCTCATTTTGTGCGGCTGTCTCAGACTGTTGTGTTTCCTCGGTCATTGTCATCTACATTTATTTAATTTGTCGACAATTGAAACTTATTCGGTGTCGATTCGATTCACTCTGATCGAAATTAATGATTGGGGCATGCAATTTTCTTCGAGTCATCAAAATAAACGTTTCCGTTTACAAAGTTTTCGCGGCCATCTTGATCACTCAATCATAAAAAATACTATCGAACGAAGAGTTTCTAGCGACGAGTCAGGGTATTTCACTAGGTTAGCATATTTTTTGTTAACATTGTACGTCCACGAGATGGCGTTGCATTTGAATTACGTAACGTACCATTTAATTTTAGGAATTAAAATAGAAAACATGAGAATGATCATTTTATTATCATACGATAAGTGTTTCAAATGCAATGATAAAAGAATTATGCTTTCATAAACACGTATATGTTCATAGATGAAAACAGATAATATAAAATTTTATAAAATTTTTTCATTGAAAACAAAAATTCTCTAAACAAAACCAGATGACTTGTAACGGAAGTTCATTGGTCCGTAATGTCTCTTCCCAGGAGTGGGTCGATAAATATATTTTTATTCGTATTACTGTAATCGATATCTATATATTTACTCTTGTTGGCTCTTTCACTGTAAAACCGTACTTATTATACATTAATAGAGTTATACGATCACAAATAATAATCATGGCATTTACTCATAACTTCATGAACAATGAAGCCAAAACAGGTTTTACCTAATGTTTACAACCGACCTGCAGCCACATCTATATAGAGTCTTAAATTTGTTAAGAAAATTCTAAGTTTCTTACATCATACAACGATGCAACCATCTATACTCTTCGAATTACATCAACCAATGTTGATTAGTTATAAGATGAATAAATATGAAAAAATGTAATATTTTTTTGTATATAAAGTGTTGCATACATAAAGTTCGTGTATATCAGGAAATTTTAAATTAAATATTTTGTCTTGTAATAAAATGCCTCGTATCGTAATGTATTCGTATACAGAAATTGAGTTAATTAGAATTCTTACATATTAAGTATTGCAAAGTGATTGTGTGTGTGTGTGTATGTGTGCGCGCGCGCGCGTATATATATGTATGTGTGCATTACCTGGCATTTGCATACGAAAACAATGTATAGCGTGACTCAATGTCGAACATACATTGTATATTGTGTATATATTTCCTGCTAATTTATTTATGTTGATATACACGATAGACATCGGTACCAAAGTCGGGCGTTAATTGTCTAATTACTCTGAGCTAATTAATCCATTACTCGATGCGATTACAAATTTAATCGTGAATAGCTTGCAACCATTATCGAATAAATTAATCACCATTCTGTTGCAAGGGACTAACGATTAACTGAACTCACCGGAAATTAGATCAATCTGACGATCGATTATTCAATGTGAATAATACGATGTCATAGAAATTAACGATTAATTCAACTGCTAATCATCATAAGCGATTTACAATTAATGCAATCATTAATCGATATTTTGATTAAATTTTGCCCAACAATGATCGGTACAAACTTCTATATTCAACATACTGATTTGTCTAAAGGTAACGTTCGTTACCGCGCGTCTTTGAAGCTCACTACGATCTGTATCTCTAGCCTTTGTGAATAAATTATGTACGTATCGTAAACGTTAAATATTTTACAAAATTTATGAAATTCCTAGCTTATAAATTTGTTCGTCCCTTTCCTAATCGTTCAAACTGTTCTAGATCATTTGTTGTTGATCACGGATGCAACCCAACTTTTCGATTTCAACCACGAATCCGCGACCACTTTCATGATACCTATAGGAAGTAGGATTTGTTTCAGCTATCAGCTGGGCGGTATAGCTTTGGCAGTTTGTCCAAAACCTAAATTTGGCCTGGTGCCAAACCATGACATTTTCCATTCTAAAGTTTCTTGCAGTAATCGCTCTTCCTCGGGGGAAAAATGTAGAAGAGTAGCGACCGCTCTCGTTAAGTGAAGGGCCTTGAAAAAAAAAACAAACAAAAGATACATCAATTTGGAAATTTATATAACGAAGGGGATGACCTCTTTTTCTTCGTTTTAATATAATTTAATTTATTTATATAATAATATAATTTACCTCGTATTCCCTACTGGTTAGGAACTTTATGAGAACATGTTTAAGGTATTTAAAGTTGACGTCATCATCTCTCGTGTTGTTATGCCTAGCAGTAACAGTCTTCGACGAACTTGGTTTGAGAATTGCTGCAGAAGGTTCTGCGTCGCTATCCAATGATGACGACGGAACTCTCAACTCTCGTTGAAGGGTCTTCTTCATATCCGATAACCGTTGCTGCAAGACTTTGATTGTCTAAAAATACACCCAAATATTAGTATCGTGTACAATAATTTCGTTAATATTTATTTTTCTTAAATTTACCTTGGTCTTTTCGTTCAATTGTTCTTCTAGATCCAGCAAACTACTTTTAAGAAGTTTCTCGCTCCTCTCCATTTTCTCATTGTTTCGTTCCGTTTCTTCCAATTCTGACAACCTTTGTTTCGTTTCTTCTAGCGTTGACATTGCATGTTCTATTTCCTTAATTTTACTTTGTAAATTGTGCTCGAGACTTTCTACCCTACTTTGCAATTCCCCATTTTCAATTTCATGCTGTCGATTCTCTTGTTTTACGATTTCAATATCCTGAGAGACTTGAGCATTTCTTAGCAGTGCGGAGTCTTTTTCGCCTCTTTCTTTTTCTAGGCATACTCTTAGCGTTGCCGATGCTGTTCGTTCAGATTCTAGATCTTCTCTCAAACGCGCTAATTCTAAGTGCAAAGAGGAATTATTCGTTCGTTCTCCTTCCAAAGAAAGACGAAGATGCGCTACTTCTGAGGTGGCAGCTGAAAGTTTCGTTGTTGTTTCTTCTAAGTCGTGTTTCATTTGGATGATCTCCTTCGAAGAAGATTCCTGGTAAGAGAACAAAGAACAAAATAACGTTAGTGTTACCCAATGTCAAAAGCATCAAGCACAGAAATTGTAATTTTGCATTGGTAGAATTTGCTGAAATGATTTGTAATATATATCTTTGGAATTCATGGTACAATCGAAGCTTATCACCGAAAAATTTGAAAGTATAACAAAATATATGATGAAAGCATGAGTAAAATTAACATGGAGCAATAACTACAAATTTTCAAAAAAAAAAAAAGTATTTTATATAAATACTTTACGATACTTTGTGGTCGAGTTGGCATCAGAACTTGTACCTAATCTAAGTATAGAAGTTGTCCTTGTCTTCTGTTACTTATTACTATATTGTTAATTAGATTTTCAAGTTACCGATTATTAATAATAAATATTGGTAAGGTAGTTCGTTTACATGTATTATCTAGTTTGAATTCGACGAGTTGAATAAATGTTTGTTTAACAAAGAAATATTTTTCAAGTTCGAAGTAGAATGATTGATTGTTTATTTATTTTGTAACAGTTGTCGCTTGTGCCATTAATTCCAAAGCCCGAACCAAAAGTTTACTGTTGGTTCGAACATACTCGGTCGACGTGAAAAACTTTAACAATGACGTTTGGTTTTTCAATGAAGCTTTCAAATTCTTCTATTTAACCATTCTATCCTCTATTCTATATAATATACGATACGTTTTCCTTGAATCGTTTCCATCTGGACACGCATTCCTAATATTTACAGCAACGTAAACGTAATCGGACTGTGTTGTTGGTGTAGCAAAATATAATATAGTTTGTTACCCTGTAAGAAAACAATCGTGTACACATTCGTGTGTATGATATATAAAAAGCCGCTTGATAGGGGGATATAAAAATGGGTTAAAAACAAGCACAAAACGAATACGATATCTATTTAATTTATTTGTTTGTTTTCTTTATTCCACAAATAAAATATACAGAAATGCGTTCGTACATAAAAATGTTATTATGTTGATACTATTTAATTTTCATGTACAAAGGCAATGCGAGCGAAATATAGGATTTGAAAAAGTTGACCAAAATAACCTTGGTCGAGTTTGTCAACAAATAATGCCGAGTTTGATAAAAGTATAATATACGTAATAAATTTTCTGCATGCTCATAACGATAAATCAAAAAATTACGAACAAAAGAATGTGCTAGTAAATACGCATGAAATAAATGTTCTGTGCGTCAAGCACAAGCATCTCAGAAAAAACATGCAAGTAAATAGGCGACATGTAGTTTCCAATTACGAGTTAACATACGATGCCTCCTACGCGTTTCAGTACTGTTATAGTTATCGCGTGATAGCGAACTCGTCAAATAGTTAGCGAAACCGTCAAAAAAAGTGATCAATTGTCACGATTAACAACTAGGAAAAACTCTGATTTCTAAAAACAAACATCTAATCACACACAACTGCGAAACATTAAAATATGAAATGGTCACTTTCTTAAATACTAACTTTCCTTCTTTCGATATACCGATATGAAAAGCAAAGTCGATCGAAATACAAACAAAAACTGCTGCAATCTTATTTAAATTCGGAACTTTGTTATTACATACAAGCGATTGTATACTATAATATGCCTCGCATAATAAAAAAGAAAGACTCCATAAAGAAGAATAACACAAAAACTTCGAAGACTACTACTCATCCCTGTAATCGTTCGAGAAATCTGCCATTTGATATACAGGAAATATTCATTTCTTTGCATCTCAAGATCTAATGGAACATCTTCTTCAAAACAATCTAGTCCATGCATGACTACATATCGCGGTAACTCACAATTTGTCGCTTAAACTCTTCCACCTCATCATCGACGCTGGCCCGGAGCTCTTTCAGTTCCGTGGCCATCTCGTCGATGTCTTCAGCCATGCGCAAAAGCTTGGCGTCTTTCGTAGCCATGACAACATTGTTCACCTCTATTTCAGCTTCTAGGTGTTTGATCCTTTGTCTCAGTTTTTCGCTTTCCTCTTCGACTCGTCTCCTTTCCAGACCTTCCTCGCCAGCCTGTCTGCTAAGTCTTCCAACTTGCGTTTCCAAGCTAGATATCTTTCCCGACCAACTAGTTTTTATATCGGACAAATGAAGATGTGCCTCTTCTAATTTCCTTTCTAACAGTGCTCTTTCTCTCATAAGATCAGCTATTCTCTCGTCAACCGTTACTTGATCGTTAGTTCCTAAAGCAACTCTTTGTTCTAACACAAAAACTTTATCCTTTAGGTGGCGTACTTCTTCCTCAGTCAGTGCCAGTTGAGAGGAAAGTTGAGTTTTCTCGCGCTGAGTAGAATGACGCAGTGTCTCCATTTCATCCTGGAAATGGCGACGTTGTTATCAAAGATGTATGTTACTCCTATTGTTATTACAATTTGCTCTGCGAAGCTTTGTCGCGAACCTTACCAAAGCATTGCCAGCACATAAATATGAGTTATAGTATCGGAAATAATTCAAACCTTATGAACCCAAGATTAAGCAAATGATGATGAATTCAATGAATGACAATAATATTGATAGTGAACAAAATAATGAAAGAAAATAATGAAGCAGAAATAAAGCCTGAGTTAAATCAATTTCTTGTTGTAAAAAATTGATAAAGACTTTGTCGTTTACTATAAATGAATACAATAGCAATTGAATTTGATAAAAAAAATGTATAAAATTATCCACTCATTATCTGGAATTAATTATTCCACGCTGTTACGAGAGTAACAACATTGGAGTGTGAGTACTGCAGTAGAAAGAATTTAGATATTTTAAATGAAATTTTATTATAATATGAGAATATTTGTATCTATTAGACCACTTCCATTAGTTCAGCGTTTCTCAAACTAGGATTCACAGGTTTTCAGAAAAAAAATAGATATATTGTATTGATGAATAAGAAAAATGTTTTTGTAATATTTTTTTATTACTAAAAGCATTTTCAAACTTAGTGAATCATTGGTGATAGCTTTTTCAAGTTTATAATCTTCTTATTTTGTTTCTAAGAAAAGTAATAGAAGATACTTTTAGCAAAAAATAAAAATTAGATAAAGTAAATTTGTTTGTTTAGAAATAATAATTTAATTCTATTCTGGGGAGTTTGGATAAGTTTGAGAAACACTGCACTAGTTACATGCATTTCTCCTAAGTTATAAAATTTTGCACCAAGGAGAAAATTACATAAACAGCAACACTGATGTAAGTATAATTTATAGAAGTTATTTATGTTGCAGAATAGCAGCAAAGCTTTAAAGACGTACCTCTAGCATCAGCAGTAGCAGCAGCGAATTAGCGGAAATTACCGCCTACTCTGATCTCCAATGCTCTCGTATATCAAAGTTTTCCAATCTTCATGCGTTTGTTGTTTTCACAAAACTTTTCAATATCACTTAGGTTTTGCTCATGTTCCATAACCAATTAAAAGAATTTTGTTCTTTCATAACTTGTTTGTACTCGAAAGATGTCTACCTTCTCTGAATGAAATTTTATCAAAATGAAATCAAGAACTCTTGTAATAAAATATTTGAAAAACATTTTAAGAGTACAAGTAAGAGTTATGGAACATATGCGCATTTGTTTCATTTTTAACGAATGTCCGAAATATATGTTCGAAACTATCAAATACTTAAAGAGTCTCGACCGTAAGTCGCAAAGTACATCATGGATTGGTATTGTGTATCAATATAAAAATGTGCGGAAAAAACATGGCCAATCGTGACAAAAACAAAAAGCTATATATAAAATAAAAAAAAATATCAAACAGCTTCAAAATAAAGTTAAAGTATTTAAAAAGAAGCGTGCTTATATCTAAAAAAATATATGGTCGTTAACTTCACAAAAGACCATATGACATGTAACTGGTATTACAAAAATAAAAACAATGTTTAAACAAAACGATAAAATAAATATGAACAAACTGATTTTTCCATGCACCTTTAACCGTTTTCCACGAAAAGACGTCCCATATTATTAATGAGTACAGAGTACGATACACAATATAATAAAAATACGTGTTTCAAAATTAATCTATACTAGAGGTAAACCAATATATAGTTTTCGAATTAATATAACATTAAACTTATGCATAGAAAATTAGTTCATTCAAAGTAATTTGTTTTTACTAAAAATATTGTTAAAGAAAATAAATATACCAGAAATTTGTCTCAATTAACAATTTCATTTTATCATGCTACGAATGCTATAATTGTTGCTTAATAAATCAACATTATTTAAATTCTTTAGTAGTACACATTCTGATGGATTGTTAAAAAATTGTTATTTGTAAATAGTTATTAGTTGGAAAAAATATATGTTAATAATATTTACTTTGAATAGTACTTCCCTTTCGTACATATGCATCGCGGAAATAGAATGATATGTAACATTCGGGAAATCATTAATTTTTCTTCAAATAATCAACTGCAAAATTTCTCCTCAAACTGGTGACACATTTATACATACATGAAAATTAAATGTAATTATAAGACATCGTGTAACATATACAGCTAAAACGGTAGTTACATATGTGTAATTTGATGCTTAAAAATGGCAAATTCTTTTGATAAATGTCACTGGTGTAATAAACGTTGTGGAAGATTTAAAAATAAAAAGTGTATATAAATCTTTCTGAACTAAAATCATTAAAATATGCTCCATGTTTACTTACTCAAATGGTGTCAATCAAGCAACTTATATTACATTAACACAATTACATGAAATAATTATGTTAACATAATCTTATAGTTCATGGCGTATTCGAGGTGATATTCAGAATCAACCAAAGCAACTATCGCATAATGTACTCACCTGTACGTTATTCAGTTCATCTTCATATCGCCTAAGACGTGAAACTTCGGACCTTAGGCTTTCAATTTCGGCAGTGGTCGCTTTTAAATGTTGCGTTTTTTCGTCTACTTCTTGTTCTTTAACCAGTAACTTAAACGAGAAAGAAGAAAAACATGCAGGTGAAACATAACTTTTCTGAAGTATAACATAATAATATACAGATATATTTATATATATAAAAAATGAAACATACTAAATGTTTTACTTTTGCCATCTCCTGTATTTGCAAATCTTCTAATTGTTCTGCATCTTCTTGAAAACTGTACAATTTCTTTTTATATTCTGAAACATGATAAAAATAATAAAAATATAAAAATTTGTTCTTCCAATTACAGTGTATCAAACTGGAATCCCAAAATAAGCACACCTTCCGCATCTTTAAGGGCCAGTTCTATCGATCGTTTTGTGCGTTCTGTATTCTGTAATTCTTCTTCCAATTTATTTTTTTCCTTTTCCTGTTTTTCAACAACTTTTTTCCACTCTTTCTCTCTCTCATAGAGCCTTACTTTCCATTCTTCCTCCTTTTTTTCCATTCGTTTCATTAATTCTGCCTCTTTTTTGGCTAACCTTTTCCTCCATTCTTCTTCCCTATTCTCAAACCTCTTGATGTCTTTCGCGGACAATTGCATACCATCGCTTAATTTAAGATCAAACGTACTACTATCCCTTTTCAAAGAGATTGGTGGAGAAGGAGATGTTGTATTTTCTTCACGTGAACCATCTAATGAAATTTGGGATCCAGTGATGCTGTTCATGGAACCTGCCTGTAAAATATACAAAAACAACCATACAATTAAAGAAAAGTCATAACAAAACTCATAATCGGCAGAGTACATTCCAAGTAGTTTCAAGACATTAACATAATCGGATGATAAACATACGTAATACTAATGAATATCTGGAGAACATATGTAGAAACAATAAGTGATATTTAATTTCAATTACTCATGCGTTTGCTCGGTAATTAACGATACGAAACGATGGCAAGAAACTAATCAGTGCCTATAAATAAATCTATCGGTCGTTTATGGTAGCGATATCGCATTATATCGATACCTATATCACGTACACACAGAAATGTTTACCTGGGACATATGCTTCGAGTTAATACCGCGCACGTTGCCGGCATTTCTAACGACAGTTGACACGTCACTCCCCGTTTCCTCTCGTATTTTATTCTTTAACGTCGCAAACATGTTGTAATAATACCGAAGGGGACAAGCAGAAAATGACAACTACCACCTGTCAACGTTGTTGTGCTGACTCTTGTGCCCGCCTATCAGGGCAACGTTAATAAAGATCAGGGAACAGAATCGTAACGTGCCAGGAATTCATTCTTCAACAATACATCGCCTCGCTCAGTTTCATTGAGTCATCGTTAAATCATGCGACATACACGCGACGCAAATTTTACGAAATCAACTGGTACATCAAAGATAAACGATTGCCATTCTGACCACTCGCGAGTTAACCAGACACCAACAGATACCAAGCCACTGGCTCAGAAGTCGATATATATATAGCTTCTATCCCTCCTGTTTTCGGCAATTTAGGGTACAATTGCATTAAGCGCGAAATGCAAATGACAGAACTGCTCGATGTTCTGTGAGGATGTCACGAATATCACAGTTTAAAAGGGTTTCGTCACGTGACAGTTAACACTGCTTCGACAAGTGTATACTTTGATTAAAAAAACAACGAGGACAATGCACTAAATAGATGCAACGCTTTTTATTCCACAGTGTGTTAATTACATAATATTGCCACCGTTTCTAAACTGCGTTTCATTGTGGATCTATCCTTTTTATTGAGTTTCTAGACCAATGAAACTATCGGACTGCTAGGAACGTTTCGTTTTGGAGGTTAGAAACAAAATGTCGTCGTTGGTAGTATTGACAGCGGCGCGGTGAAACTATAGCACGTGGATTTAGCGCGTGCAGCGGAAGCATTCGGAGTTAGTGTTTTTAAATTTGACGGTTGAAAGTGTACGTGTTTGATGTTTGTCTAATTTTAAGTTATACATTGATGAATAATTGTGATGAGATCAAATTAAAATGGGGGAATATTTAGATGACACGGCTGCAGTGGTAAATTACTTCGATGAGTAAGTACAATTGTAAAATTTAGCTTGTTACGTATGACGCTATTTTTATCTTCGACAGGAGGAGGTCTGTTTTTCTCGTAAATTGTCATCTCTTTAATTCTATGTCTTACCACTCCGAAACAAACTTTGATGCAGGTTATTTGGTCTTATACGTGTTTCGTATTACGTATTTGTTGGTTAACATCAAATATCATCAAGTATTGTTGTTTACTAAGTGACAATTGCCTTTTACAAATCCACTTTTTAACATGTTTGAAGTTGTTTAATTTTAAAGAATTCGTTTATTCATAACATTATTTTATAAGTTTGCTATAGATCTTTATATGAACATATCCTTTTGTCGAAAAGAAATAAATTGTGTATCGTAGTCATCTTGTACTCATTATTATCTATTATTATTCATAAAGTGTCTGTTAACATGATCAATAACAGTGATCTGACGATTTTCTAACATTTCTGTAAATTTTCAGGGCTAGAAGATTACAAGTACGCCTTCTTTGTAAAACTTACGATTCTTGAATGTTAAATGAAACAATTTTTATATCGGATTACATTACCACGTCATGATGATAAGCTTACCTTACATAAAACACATTAAATTACGAGCCAGAAATTTGTAATAGAGCTCCTACTAATTAATCATTTTATAAAATACTATACTTTTACGTTACATATATATTAGATCAGAAACTAAAATATATATATTCGTATTAAAAAAATATAAGACCATTGTATTAATGCCTTTAAGTTTTCTATATGCCTTGTACAATAAACATTGAATTATTCGTTGTTTGTTCAAACAGTGACTATCTTATTCAGCAGGGTTAGAGGTCACTCTTTGCTGTAGTGGTTCTCAAGTAAAATTTTATTCTATGAACTGCGCGTAGGAAATTCGGTTTTTCGGAACGCTAGGAACACAGGATGTGCTTTATCAGAAAAGTAGAATCGTAAAGCAGTCAGATATACCGAGCAGTAATCGGTGCGTAATCGAGTCACTTTACACGTCAGAAGTTCGTGAAATTTCTTTCAATAAGGATGAAGATACTTTCCTGCAAATTTCCCCTCAGAGCATTAGGAAGATTAATATTATATTATTTAATCTTGAATGAAAAATGAGTCGATATTAATATAATCGACGAACTAGGATCCTTCGTGCTAATTTCATAACGGTATTGGAAATTACTCAAGTACCTCTCCTACCCTTTGCTACAGCGTTATTTTCCCTGATCACCGTAACGAATAGTCTCTAATTCCTCTCCGCTAGCCTACTTCAAAGCGAGATTTGCATACAGCCAACATCTCGCTTCGAGCCACTAATGAGAAACACTGCGTTTGACCGATGCGTTTCGTTTAGTCTGCTAGCAAACCCTGCTTTTATCTGTTTTTGTCACTCGTCTCTCCCTTCAACCACGCGCGCACCGTCTGTTCTTTATCTCCGCTACTACGAGAGTATTCGTCCCTCTTTCGTTTGGGCTCTGCTCGATCATCTCTGTCGCTCCTGGGGTCGCTGTACACGAATCTTTCCGACCTTAAACCCTCCGCCCTCCGTCCCCTAGCTGGCCCCCTCTACAATCTGTGCCGCCGCCTGACTTCAGTCGCGTACAATCCGTCGCTGGAGCACGACGAGTCGCAGTTGTTGCACTTGTTCGAAAATAAACGTGCTTGCTCGTATCATTCTATCGCGACAACGATAAGGATATATTCACGGACACTCGTGTATTGTGTGCGACGTACAAGTGAAATTTTCCCAATTCCATTCGCGCGATCGTACAATCCCCTCGCGATGGAAGACGTTAGACCCGCGAGAAAACGATTGCTCTCCTCCAAAAGAACTGTGTTCAAGTACAAACTGCTGATTCAGTGACAGGGTGCCCGTTTCTCAGGGGTGAAGTTACCGGTTTTTTTTTTGTAGTTTCTTCGCTGGGACACCCTCGAGCCAGCAAAGTGGACAGTCGAACAGTTAAAGGGACAGTGGAACTAGAGTGTTTTCGTTGAGACAAGTGAATCATCTGGCGTGTCGTCTCGAGCGAGAGTTATCTCACTGATCGATCCAGGAGCATATAGGTCGCGCTAACGTGATTCCAGCTCGGTGGAGATTTTTGTTTCTTTTTGGACGGTTCGACTGCGCAAAAATAATCGTCGAAAGTATCCTTCCAATACCCTTTCGACGGTGGTTCTTAAGACTGACGGGGGAGGATTCGTTGACGTTGACGATATGCTCGCTTGAAACTCTACCTTGATGTAGACCAACAATTCTGTGCCAAATATACGTGCCAAAGTGTTTTCACTGAAAGTACAACTTTTTTTATTAGTATTATCGTATCGAACGTTATATATCGTTGTTATAGTTTTATTCGTAAGTTTCGTTTTTGAAGCGTTTCGCGTTTCGCGTTGAAGACTCACTGTTGTTTTGTACGAATATTGGATAGTATTTTTAAGCGTTTCGATGAGGAACAATTGTCGCAATATGTTTTTCGCCGGCTACGGATATTCCAATCATCAACAAAACAGTCCTTCGTCGCCGACCAGGACGAGCGTCTGGGGCACCGTTTACAGTCCATTTCGTAGGTGAGCACTCACTGGTCAGACTAAAATAGATAAACGACATTATCATTTATATAAAAACGTCAAATAACGATTAAGAAATAAACAGTTGCTCGGTACTTGTTGTTATATCAAAATTAGAATTCGAAATACAGAATGAAATATTTGATAAAGACGAACAAATTTAATTATGCAATTGAAAGCGAAGCGATTCCCGGTACTCGACTATTTTTAACGAGCATAGTTTCGAACTTTGATTCCACCGTGATGTTGGTATTGTAAAATTGGGACGGCCTGTTTTTGTAATTCACGCGAATTGGGGTAGCGTATGCCCTATTTTTCTGGTAGTATGACGTCATTCGTAACGCGGTACCACCCTCTGTATTTATATATTGCTCGCAATTTTGGAGCAGAGGACCAAGTAAACATCGGATATTAAATATTTCTTGAAAGACTAATACGGAAATGCTTATACTTAAACTAGAGCAACAAATGATTAAATATAAAAACCTGAATTCGTTTCTATACGTAATACATAATAAACAGAATATACTCGAGACACCTAGACATTACTAATATTAACTTATATCGGCATACGTTGATATAGATAATGGAAAAACTACTCAAAAAAACTTTATTCATTATTCAAAAGATCCTGTAATAAAATAATGAATCACTTGTGGCCAAGAAAACAACGTCAAACGATGATGTCATTCGAGCAGATTCATCAATCCAATATTTACTCCGAACTTGGGTTTTACTCGAACATTGCAAATCAAGTTTAATATCGCGCTATCCCGCTGCGCGTGGTGTTGAACGATAGTAGAACGACCTCGCGTTGACGTGCAAAGTTCCCTCAATTACCAGATCGTTAACCGTATTAACTTGCCCAGTTAAACAATTAGCTCGGCCCTGTCGAATGGAAACCATTGTTTACGAGGCGATGCACGACCCGCGGTAGCGTTCTTACGTCGCGACGCGTGGGTGTCCAGTGGGCGAAAGAGTTCGTTTAAGGCCTTTAATGAACGCACGCGACACTTAGCGAGCCTATGCGCATGCAGATCGTTGCAGTTTAGTCGAACTTGTCGGCGACCGTGCTGCGCACATACGATCCGCCGTGTCACGACCTTTGGGGCGATAAATCGCGAAGGATTTCCTTTGTTTTCCAATAGATTTCCAGCTGGGACGAGTGGGACTCTTCAGGTAAACAAAACGGGCCAGCAGCTGGCAAGGAAAATTATTTTCCAAAATAGAGGAATGCACGAGAAAACTTTCCATGTAGAATTATCATTCCAGGACTGGACTGAGCTTGATAAACTATTTATGTTCTGATTAGTCAAACAATTATTATTATTTCGTGCAATAACCAGTTTGTAACAACGGTAAAATTTATTCGATTAAAATCAATATAAACGAATTGTGGGCGAGTCTACTCGTTTACATATTTTAGATACATGCAGTCTCTTTTAAAAAATAAGAATACAATAATTTAAAAAGATAACTGTCTAATAGTGCCTCCATAAAAAAATACAAAAGTAGTACAACGTAGAATAGCTATTGGCACGTCTCTGACGCCACGATTTTCAATTTCCTGGAAGACTAACGGCACATGGAATTGAAAGAGACTGCATTGTAGCGGTTTCTTTGATTTTCGTTCCAGCAATGAAATATTTATTGCTGTTATTCGAGGCTGTCAAACCGAATCCAGCCGTCGCGCATCGAAAAACTAACAAGGCAAAGGTTTGGCCCCAAAATATTCACGACAAACAATCTATATTTAGGTAACCAAAGGGCGGGCATCTTTTATGTAGCTCTAGTTACTTCGACCCGGCGACTCGCTTCCGCCGCAAAAACTTTGTTCTCGCGCTTTCAATGGGAACCATCGTATTGCGCGTCGAAGGTAATCTTAAAGTCGAGGAAAAGCCAGGCAAATGCAGCTCCATTGAATGTGGAAACATCTCGAAACCAGCTGAGACTCTCTGTCCAAGTATATCAACGAAATTGCGATTCGAATGGAGCAATTGTCTATTCGTAAATTTGATTTATGATGTTAGTAATTTTGAAATATTCTACAGGGAAATATAATCTAGACTCTAGATTCTAGAGTATAATTAGTAGCAGGAAATTAGTAAGAGGAATACTTCACTAAAACTTA